CACCTCCTCTACAAACTCGCATGAGCCAAAGAGTATTTCATTGGTTGTCTGTATGTCCTTTGAATATACCCTATATTTCCCACTGCGCCAGGTACTGTACATTTGGTACTTCAGAAATGTACCAAAAGTACAATATTTCAAGATCGGTTTTCCACTGGCATAGAAACTGGTGTCAGTGTTGAGTGACATGACGTGAGGCAGGGTCTTTTGTATAGAAATTTACAAAATTCATCTGAAAAATTGTTGCTTTTACACCAGCGCTGCATGCGTTCACCAAGACAATCATAATCATCCTTGCTGTTTAAATCATTCCTAGATATGTATTACTAGGTTTGTGAAATTTTATTTTGAACTCATTTTTTATTATATAAATATCCCAATATTTATATTGCAATAATTTTATTATAATTTGACTTTTCACTGCCCTGTGTGTTATAGTACAAACTCAAACTCAACCAAATTAAATGCCAATGGTTGAATAAACAAAGACAATGACACCAAAATCACTCAGATATCTTGACAAATAAGGAAATTATTGGCAAAAGAAGTTCGCTAATTAGCCCTTTTTTTTTAAATGGAATGAGTGTAGAAAACTGTGACCAAATACCTAACTTTTTATATAAAAACGCTTGTAGTTTCCTTCATAATCAAGATATCTCAATGAAACTTTCAGGGAAGGTGTATCTCTTTATATTCTTCAATCTGAAAGAATAATATATATTCCAAGTATGTCCTTAGTCTGAAATAAAATTGATACAAGGTAAAGACTGGAATGGTGTATCAACAGGCGCCGCTGTTGGTTTAGGTCACGTGACCATGTGAATATCTCTTATCTTCTGCTTAATTAAATGCGACTCAGTGGATATAATTATCATTTTCACATCTTAAGATATTTCCCTAATATCATGGCATATTGATGCAACAAATCACTGATGAACATACAGCAGATTTCAGGATTTTTGGCCCGTGACGATCCTGTATGCTGCCGGTCCGGGTCAGTAAACTTTTTTTCTGATCCATAGAAAGCTATGAAACTGCAGGATTTGAAAGATGAAATGATAAACAATATGTCAATTTAGCTTTCAAAAGCGTCACTTAATCCTTTGAAGTGGTTTTTGTATGTTGAAATCGAGTGTATTTTTCAACGTTTCCGGAAAAGGTCTAAATGTACACAGAATTGAAAAATTCAAAACGGAGGACGAAGAGGGGTTCCCCATCTATGTTATCAGTGGGAATACCCGCGGAATTCCGCAATGCGATACAATAAGAATGCGTATTTTCCGGGGAATACCCAGCGCTCAGATGACCCGATGGTGGAACAGGAATCTGGCGGCCATGTTGGTCGCGCTCTTCACATACCTAATGATAGCAAATCCTTTTTATTTCTTGTCCTGCCTTCCTGATCTTCCTGTTCTTCTGACCAGATCGCAGTTTAAGCTCGAGTTTCTGCATAGGTTTTTTGCAGTATTGTGTTTCATAGGCAGACCATTTGCATAACCAGGCGACAAAGACAGCATTTCTAGTCCCACTCCAAAGTACCGAAGTACCAAAAACAGTATCCTTGCCTGTTTAGCACTTTAGATACTGGAATTTTTGGTATTTGTACTCGACGGGAGGTCAATGGAAAAGGGAAAGTACCAAAAGTACGGTACCTGGTGCAGTGGAAAAGCGCCCTAAGAGCGAAATACAGACATGGCAGCTTTCCGGAATCACAGTGAAACCCCCGCCCTGCCCCCCCCCCACCCCCAACAGTGACTTATCTCTCTTTCCCATGTGCTCTGAGAACAGTGGAAATGGGCACTTTAGCTCACTGGTTTGGGCTCTGTCAATGAGCAGATAACTTATCAGCCCGCTGGGCTCGTACTGGGCCCTTTGGTGCATGCGGGTTCTGTTTAACGGCACATAAGGCCTGGATCTGTCCTGGTTCTTGCTTCTGGTGCCCAGAGGAGCTGGGATGTTGTTCCCCTTTCATGGGTCTGGGTGATAGCCATGCTGGGACTCGCCTTCTCTGAGTTGAAGGAGACCATCCTGTGGTGGAGACACAACAGGAGAGAGCGCCGATGTCTGCCCGGGCCTGGTTATGCTTGGGTGGGGTCACTTTCCTATGAGATGCCCAGGGAGATGAGGAGTGCAGTATCTGATCTGGATTTTTAGCTTTTAGAGCTGTTGTTGGCATCACTGTGCGATTCCTACTATCGTGTTTCTTCCAGATGTCTTTACACTTTTAAGGCAGGATCTGTGGTCTCTGCCGGCCAACCGCTGCTGGTCAAGTCCAGCCATTAGTCTCCTCCCCCATGGAGTCCGAAGTCCACACACACTCCCATCACTATGGCGACGGCATCCGTGGAGCCAGGCTGTTGAGCATTCCTAGCATTCCCGCTGTCTAATCTTTAACATTTATGGTAGCCGCCGTTGCTCCCTACTCACCTTGCCAATATCCACCTCTCAGACTTTTCCTGGCTCTGCCCCGTCTCGTTTTTTGTGACTCAGCTCCTTAAAAGTCAGAGACGAGACAAATGCTGTTTAGCAGTCAAAATCACAGTGTGTTCTGTCAAACATATTTTGCTGGGTGGAGTTGGGGGATCCTCTCTTGATAACGCCCATGTGATATGTTGGCCATTAGTGACACGGTCCACACGCGTACCTTGTGTGAAGCATGCGGCGTGTGACATGGTGTGTGGTAGTGACATGGTGTGGTGGGTGGGTGTGGCTTTCAGATTGATACAATGATCTCCTTCACCGAAACACACAAACCCAGATCTGCTGCAACCTCAAGAATTATCCAATTACCTGTTGACAGGTGTCACAACTCGGCTACCTGCCTGTAACTCCACATGCCGCCTTTTAAATGCCCCCCCCCAAAAAAAAAAAATTATGATCCTTTCTAGGGGTGGCACGGTTCACAAAACCCACGGTTCGGTTTGTATCACGGTTTTAGGGTCACGGTTTTCGGTTCTGTACGGTTCTTGTTATTTTTTCTTTTAATCTTTAACACTCCAGAAATGTACTTCAGCATATGATATATATATAGCTTAATTATCCACAATTTAGGATACAGTATTTAAAAAGTTATATCATGTAATCATGCATAAACTGAATTTGACTTGACTTACTGTAAAGCACATTATTAAAATTATTAAACATTATTAATCCCAGAACAGTAATAAAATAAGTCTTGCCTTAACATAAATGCTAAAAGAATAGATCGCTTTAATCCCTATTACAGTTGGGTATGGGCACGCGGTCTTATTTAGAAAACATACAAAAAGAGACGCATATAATGTTTAATCATTCGTTTTGTATTTGTCCGGTCCACGGGGTTAATTTAATTGGGGATCGTTAAAATGATAGATCACCTATCTTGATTAAGCCTGATTCGGTTCGTTATATATATATAACTCACTATATATACACACACACACATATATATATGTGTGTGTGTGTGTGTGTGTGTGTGTGTGTGTGTGAAAAAAAATTGGTATTAATTATATTGAATGTTCTTGAGTAATCGATCAAATCAGTTTCTGTGTATGTACAAGACATCAATCTGTAATAGTGCAAAATATGTCCAGTTGATATGTCTAGTATGATCATCTGTCAATAGCCTGTAGGTCTGTGTGGTCAGACACTGTGCAATAAACAGAATTTTTAGGAACATGGCAAATGTTCACATTGCAGCATGGAAACAGGCTCACTGTTACAATGCTGACCGGGGAAGCAGAGGCGAGGAGACCTAGGATCGGGGGAATGCGGGGTTTAATGAGCAAAAGGAACACAGACGAGCGGTAAAGCAGAATTACAATATAATGACCGGACTGGAGAAAGAAACGGAAACGCGGACTAAATACAATGGATTAATGACAAATTTGACAACAATCAGGAACAGCTGGTAAACACGGGGAATCCACACAGGGTTAGCGAGGGGGCGTGGCACACGGAAAGAACGGACGATCGAGGCATGACACTCACTGGAGTGCTTTGTCACAGATAACTTAATTTTCTTTAACAAAGTGCCTAACCGCACATTAAATAAAGTCACACAACAAAGGTGCACAACATTGTTCAGATGTTGTGCTATCGGTTGGCTGAAATTTAAACGTTTTCTTCAGAGACAGGGTGGTAACGCCGAAAACACGAGCTAAACGCAGCAAATGAAAGGCTATCGGAAATTACTTACTTTACCGGAACTACGTCACACCGTTCTGTGCATATAGCCTATTCTTTCGCGCGAAAGGGAAACACACTGACGTCACATACGGGGCACGAGGCTACATTGCGCATGTCATGAACCGTGCGACGCATGCATGCTCCGAACCGAGACAAGCGAACCGAACGGTTCGGTTTTTTTTTATGAACCGTGCCATCCCTAATCCTTTCCATTCCTTCTGTTGCCTACTCAGTTTTCTTTTAATTGTTTCTTGTACCCCCCACCTGCCCAATAGACCAATTGAACGATGTTCTTAATCTGCCCAATTCACACTAAGTGTGGCACCTCAGTGTGACAGCAGGAACAAATCAACACGACCTGTAGGCTGAGGCACTGAGATGGGCTTTCAGCTAAAAGAAAGCCCGTAGGTGTAAATCCTGTGTAAAAGAACCTCCATGTGAACGAAGAGCCCCTTTGAATGGAGGTTCAGGTGTAGCTGAATGCTGGAGAGGACATTGGGGTGAGTTGCCTCCTGTCCGGAGCTCAACCAAATTCTCAACCCAAAGGGAATGATGAACAAGGGTGTTGGGCTCTTGCCGGGAAAACAGTCTTCCTAGCGGTAGCAGGAGAGAGTTTGTTCTCCTGCTCTCAGGGTTTCTCAGGAGATCATTCACCTGCCCAGGATCTTGGACATGTTGAGTTACTGTGGTTGACGTCAGGTATAGCCTTGCCAATGTGCTGCTTCAATAAATTTGAGATTGTACCGCAGCATTGGTGTTCTGCTAAGCGTTTGGCTCAGTCATGGTTTTGTTCTTTGTGTAACTGACTCTTGTTCTCCTTCCCCCTCCCCCAGGCTGACGAAGCCCCTGTCGTTTGCGGACTGCGTCGGGGACGAGCTGCCATGGGGCTGGGAAGCCGCCTACGACCCCCAGATCGGGATCTACTACATCGACCACATCAACAGTGAGTGTGTTTGCTTCTTCCCTGCTGACCTGAACATGGGATCACCCTGAACTCTGCATGATTCCAAATCCATGGCACTCTTTGATGATGTCATCTGAACATTAAGCTCCACCCCCCCCCCCCAAGAGGCTGACAGATCCCACAGATGGGTCACATCTAAACGGGTGGGGTTGGATGTAGATTTACTGGGAAGCGTTTTGTGTTGGTGTCAGCGTTCTCTTATGAGACTTGGAAAATATGCACGCTTGAATTCCATGGAAGTCTCGTGTCCTGCCTCTGGCCGTGTATGTGTGTGTGTGTGTGGATCTTTTTTTTGTGACTAAACCAGTTCCAGACTTGATCATCCCTTTTGGCTGCAGGGTTACCTCATAGTTAGCGTTTTTAAAAATACAGTAACCTTGTTGGGTATGTGGACGGCCTTTGTGGCTTAAAGGAAGTGATTGGTGCGGGAGAAAAACCGCTATCAGGGCTTAACGAGTTAACATGGTGCCTGGAATCGAGTGGCTCTGAGTGTGTTGCCCTCCGCCGTTAGTGCTTGGAAACCCATCAAAGCGATCAGCTTCTACTCTTTGACCACTGACACACTTGAAGTCACGTGGTGGAGGGGGGGCTCTCCAGCAATAAGCCAGGCCTGGGACCCTGTGTTGTCTGATTAATTGCTGTTGCCTCCAGCCCACGTGTGCCGCCCTTATCGCACTCTAGAGCGGCACCGCGCTGAGTGTAGATACGTCGTTTCCGTTTGATTACTCTGTATTATTTTAGATCGTCTGCCTCGTTTTAGACATGTGCCCCTGTTCATGAGCTGCGTGCACCACAGAGAGCCAGATGACTAACAAACTTTAACTGCATATTGGACTTCAGCACCCCGCCTCCACTCGCGTTGGGAGAGAAAAATAGTTTTATTTTCCCGTTATCGAAATTGGATCGCACTGAGGCGAATGCATTCTCCACAGCTGAAGACTTTTTTTTTTTCCCCCCTTCATTCCCAGGATGCCTTGAGTAATTTGCACTATAGCTTTGTTTATTTTGCATTTTCCCATGATACGGTAAACACATTATATTTAAATCGTGGATAGGAAGAGCCTGTATTTACAACAACGGATTTCTGGATAGATTTCTGTCCCTTATTAGCCAATTCCTGCTTAATGCTGCTTTTGTGGCGGCTGACTGGGCATAAACACACACACACAAACCTATTTCACTTGGATTGCTTCAGTAAGATGAGCTGTAAAAATTGTTTGAAATATAATTTCTTTCTCTCTGTATGTCGTCCGTCCTGGCGGGTGTCCCGCCGCGATGTTGTAGAGGTAGCGCAGTGATGTCCTTGTACCATGTCCGTTCCCTGTCAGGACCCTGCTGATAGGGCCACTTTACCCAAGACCCTGTGGTTCCTGGGGCAGGTTGCCGCTTCACACTGTCCTGAACTTGGTAACTGGACAAGTCTATGGAAGTTCTAGTTGGTCAAGCGTTTTTGCTGTGCCCTGTGTCACCGCGTTCCAGTGGTACCGCGGTTTCAGGTTTTCCAGGAACCTGGAGGTTGTGTGTTTTGCTTGGGGTTCTGAAGGTGTCTGTGCTGGTGTGCAGAAGAGCACTGGAAGGGTGCTGGGAGAGAGGCTCTGGGACCGGTGATCCTGAGTAATGCGTTGTGCCGTCAGTGGATTTACTAACAGTTACTGACAGGTGTCATGCTTGCCTAGACATGTTCGAGGCAGGTCGTTCAGAGGTGGGAAGGTGGGCACTGCCTGTCTGCACCAGCCGCTCGGGCTGATCACTCCACACCAGGAGTTGATGCCATCCTGGAAAGAGTTTGACACCGGCGATATGGAGAGAACCTCGCTTGCTCCATTCCCCAAGCCCTCTGCTTTTGTTCTCGCTGAAGACTGAGATCTGAGCTTAAGCGGAGGCCCGAAACAGCCACAGGTGAAGACAGCGATTGTGTGGAGTCTGCAAGAGCCTCAGAAATCCGGTTTATCTTCATACCAGACGATCCCTGCATTGCTGGGATACTACAGTGATCTGGGGGTTGGGAATTACCTGAGATTAACCTGCTCGCTGCCGGTGTACTCAGAGAGCGTTGGGGGGGGGAGGGGGTACAGGTCCTGCCGGTGGGTTTCTCTTGTACTTTTTCCTTTTTTGTCATACTTCCACCTCCTGGACACCTTCACGACAGCAAAATGTTCAGCGCCTGGTCATAAGGAAAAGGCATTAATGTGATGGCAGCGCGTGTTTGTTCAGCGTGGGTTTAGTGTGACACCGGGACTCCCCTTTTCCTCTATTTGTGCAGCATTAATGATTAACCTCCGTGTTCAGTGCAGGTGATTTGTTCTGAAATCCTCTGAATGTTGTTTCAAATGATGCAGAGAGGGGGTTGGCCATGCGGCCAGCCTGGGTGGAGAGAGAGTTCAGCTGTGGCCAATGAGATGAATGACCTGGTGCCACCAACCCCCCCCCCAATCTCCAGAGACCACCCAGCTGGAGGACCCCCGCAAGGAATGGCGCAAAGAACAGGAGCGCATGCTGAAAGACTACCTGGCGGTGGCCCAGGACGCACTGCGAGCCCAGAAGGAGCTTTACCAGGTCAAGGAGCAGAGACTGGCACTGGCCCTGGATCAGTATGTGCGCCTCAACGACGCCTACAAGGAGAAGTCCAGCTCCCGCACCAGCTGTGAGTATGGGAGCGAGTTTCCCTGTAGGTGTCTGACCCAGGTTCTGCAGAGCTCTGACCCAACCCTCTCTCCCTGCAGTGTTCTCCGGCTCATCTTCGAGCACCAAGTACGACCCGGACATCTTAAAAGCAGAAATATCAACCACGAAAGTGCGAGTGAGTAGCCGCCCCGCCCCCCCCGTGCCTTCCGCTCCTTGCCCATGTGAGCGGCCCCCATTTACTTGCGCGGCCGTGACTTGCGTCTCGCTCGCTTTTCCAGGTGGGCAACCTGAAGCGGGAGCTCTCGCAGATGAAGCAGGACCTCTTCTACAAGGAACAGGGCTTCGAAACCCTGCAGCAGTACGTATCGCACCTGTCCCTCGCTCACATGCGCAGGCTCCCGAGAAATCAGTGAGTGCGGTCCGTGCTTGTTATGGCCGAAGGCAGGCAGTGGCATCTCTGTACCTGCGGTGTAGCGCCTGGGGGCAGGGGGGGGCATGGGGGTGCGGTCGATAGCATCACGCTGCCGCTGTGGTGGAACGACTCGCCGATCGAGGAGGAGCCTGCTGGGCTTTGAAGGCCCATGTCGATCTGGGGAGTCTTTGGAGTTTATCAGTAACCATTCGTTTACAGTCAAATCAGTCCCTAATGTTCCCCCCCCCCCCCCCCCCCAACCACTTTGTGTATTAATTTATATGATGTGGCTGTTGGGATGCCCAGGTGACTGGAATTGCCTGTGGTTATCAAGGAGTTCTTAAGACCTGTCAGTCGCCCCCCAACACACTCTCAGCACTCAGTCATTAGCCGGTTAGCCAAGTATGAGAGATGCTGGCGAGCGAGCCAGGACTTCTGGCCCAAGAGTCCTGATGTGAAGACACAGATTGAGCCGTCAATCCGACAGGTATTCAAGGCCGGAAGCTGCTGGCGCTTTGCACTGTGGGTTTGGGTCCAGTCATGGAGACAGATACTTACTTCACAATTTTATTCGGTTTCATGTACAGCACAGCAGACTCCAGACGCACAGAGCTGTTTGCTGGGCTTCTAATTAACACGTCCTGTCAAAGATGTCTACGAGTCCCTGCAGTCTGGGTGTTCCTGAATCGTTAAATAATTGGACCTGGGCTGGAATCCATGGGATTTTAATAGTAACTGGTTGTTTTGTAGAATTGACCAAAAAATGTGCGGTGGCCAGAGTGGTTACCGTCTGAAGGAGGCCAAGGCCATCGTGAGCGAGCTGAAGTCCATCCGGCGAGCCATCAGCACAGGGGAGAAGGAGCGGCTGGACCTCATGCAGGTACCCGTGTGGGCGTCCATGGAAGGCTGTGCCAACAGGATCGACTGCAAGGGCTCTAACAGCCCACTGCTGTCCTTGGAGTACAAGCTTCTTGTGGGCATTTGCAGAAGGGGGGCCTGGGGAGGTTAATGTTCAAGCCATGAGAAGCTTCTGGAACTTTTTGTTTTGGAAACATTTCAGCAGACATTGGCCAGCTTAGGGGTGCTTTTTCTGTTTTTCACCCTTTTTCCTATCTTTTGTGCTTTTGCTTACCTCTCTGTGGGATCCATCCAGTGTCTGGCCAAGTTGAAAGGTCGCTTCCACCCGGACCAGAGTGTCGGTCGCTCAGAACCAGACCTGCGGCACCCACCCACCTCCCAAATACTGTTCCGACGCACCCTGGATGTGGGGTCCCAGACTGACGTCTCTGGAGAGGTGAGGGGAGCGGTCATTTTGAGTTTGTTTTGTGATGTTTCGTGGGGGATTTTATAGATGAGGGGCTTATCCAGTGCGATGGAGTCTGAGAATATACAAAAGGCCGAGACAAATGTGCCAACAGTCTCAGTCAATACTCATCTTGTCTTAGAGCTTGAGACGTAGAAACCCAAGGACACTGAAAAGGGACAGAATGGAATCCACCCTGGTGCTTTTTTGTGGGAATCGATCTCATTGTCATCTGGCCTCCTGGGGCTCCTCCCCTCTGCAGCATAGAACATCGCACGTACTGGCGAAAAATGTGGCGAGCAAATCTGCTGTCGTATGATCTGAGGAGATGCGCAAACCCGTCTGATTAGGAGGAAGAAGTGCCAGGCCGTGCACGTTCCCGGGAGTGCCAGGCCGTGCACGTTCCCGGGAGTGCCAACCATACAGTCAGTCACACACTGAAACATTATTAAACTTCCCTCTCTGCACAGCAGTGATAGTCATGGTTGCAGCTGTAGTTTTTTTTCTGGGATTTTTTTTTTTTAAATTTACTCCATG